CACAAGCGGTGTTCCCCAGGGCTCAGGTCTGCGGCCGGTCTTGTTCAGTATCTTTATTGATGATCTGATTGAGGGGATCAAGTGCTCCCTCAGTAAGTTTGCAGATGACACTAAATTGGATGGGAGTGTTGATCTGCTGAAGGGACTGGATCAATGGGCTGAGGTCAGTTGTATGAGGTTCAACAAGGCCAAGTGCCGGGTCCTGCCCTTTGGTCACAACAACCCCATGCAATGCTACAGGCTTGGGGGAAAGTGTGTGGAAAGGTGTTGGGATCATTCTGAGCGGAAAAGGACCTGGGGGTGCTGGTTGACAGCCGGCTGAATATGAGCCAGCAGTGTGCCCAGGTGGCCAAGAAGGCCAACAGCATCCTGGCCTGTATCAGAAATAGTGTGGCCAGCAGGAGTAGGGAAATGATCATGCCCCTGTACTCGGCACTGGTGAGGCTGCACCTTGAATCCTGTGTTTAGTTTTGGGCCCCTCACTACAAGAAGGACGTTGAGGTGCTGGAGCGTGTCCAGAGAAGGGCAACAAAGCTGGTGAGGGGTCTGGAGAACAAGTCTGATGAGGAGCGGCCGAGGGAACTGGGATTGGTCAGTCTGGAGGAGGCTGAGGGGAGACCTTATCACTCTCCACAACTACCTGAAAGGGGGTTGTGGCAACGTGGGTGTTGGTCTCTTCTCCCTATTAACCGGTGATAGGATGAGAGGAAACGTCCTCAAGTTGTGCCGGGGAGGTTTAGATTGGATATTAGGAAAAATTTCTTCACCAAGGGAGTGGTCAAGCATTGGAACAGGTTGCCCAGGGAAGTGTTGGAGTCACCATCTCTGGAAGTACTCAAAAAACGTGTGGATGTGGTGCTTCAGGGCATGGTTTAGGGGGCATGGTGGCGGTGGGTTAACGGTTGGACTTCATGATCTTGAAGGTCCTTTCCAACCTTAAGTGATTCTGTGATTCTGTGATAGTCCTGCTTTAGACCTGCTGAGAGAGTGGCTCTTTCTAATAATCACATGGGAAACAGTGTTTTTGTGCAGTGATGTACCCACACCTAGGTAGGGAACACAAGAGCTACTGAAGCCTCTGAATATCCATCCATTTCCGTTAGGATCCTTGTGATCCAAATAGCTGCAATTTAATGAGAAGGGCACAACTGAAATATTAAAATTGATGTCTGTTATAGGAAGAGAAAGCAAAGGGTCTAAGGTATCACTGACAATCAGAGAACTTGAGAGCCCAGTCTCATTTAAATTAAAAGGAGGCTTAACTTCTCCATCTTTCCTGTTGGGGTCACAAATTGATACATGTTTTTAAGAACATAAACTAGAAGGCCAGATACATCACCTCATCGATAAGTATAAGTGGATTCTCTGTCTTGGTCTTCTTCAGACACTGGATGATTTTTCCTGGCATTGCTCCAACATATGTCCTCCTGTTTTACCAGAAACTGTATTTAGGGACCCATTGTAAATACAGCACACATCACACAACACAGCATGCAGCTGATGGAACAGGTATACCCTGCTGGGAAACAAGTCTATATTTCTTCTACATCTATCAAAAGCATTCTCCATCACCATACTAAGCATGAAGACCCATCCAGTCTGTTTCTAGTAGAGATCAGACATGAATTTTGGCAGAATACACCTGGACTGAAGTTTTTAATCTTTAGTTTTAACCAATTTTAAATTAGAGGGAAGCAAAGAGGTAAGGCTGAGAACAGAGATGTTTGAACAATGACTTCTTGTTTTTTGGGTAAAGAAATGTTAGAAAAGGGAATGTTTCATTCCCTCACTTGGTAGGGAAAAAAAGGAAGATCAGTGTAAATCAAAAGATACACTGAAGGAACAAACTGCAGCAGAACACAGTCTTTCTGCTAGAGGGAACTGGCATCCAGGAAAATGCAGAAGCAGAGCAAGAAGGTAATAGAGTGAATGCCAAAAGGCACAGAGGAGAGAACATCCTGAAAAAGCATATAAAGTATCTCTCTGCTTCTGTATCATATAAGGCAGAATCATGCAGATTCAATTCACAGCTACTCTTACTAGTTTGGAAACACTGCTAGTTTTGTTTTCAGGTAAATGCGGAAGGAAAATAAATCCATGGCAGGGTCAGATTTATTGATTTTTGTATTCACATCTTCTCGTTCTCCCCATGAATATTCTTGTTCCCAAGTTTTCCTCATGCAGCACCTCCCTCCTGGTTATTCAGAAATCAAGTCTCAATCACACCTGAACACGTGAATGACCCTGTTCAAACTGTCACCATTCTCTAATGCTGGCATTTATAGACACATTAATTAGCACTTGGCATCAGTCCAATGCTTTTGGGTAGCTCACACAGCTTTTCAAAGGTTTCCCATAAGGATACACAAGAAGCAGGAAGTGACTGCACAGAGACACAGATATGATTACATTCCAAACTCTGCCCGTTGCTATCCTTTTCACCTCTTTCTATATCCCAACTCCTATCAGCAAGGGTTGGCAGAACAGAGATGAAAGTTACATACATTGCCCAATTTAAGTTCCTATTTTGACAACACAATTAAAAATTGCTGAATAGAGAAACTGCTCAAGTTACACTGACCTGTGTCCTTTTATTTCTGCTACATCAGTCATCCCTCCAACACTGAAGCGGAAATACTCTCTGTTTAGGGCTCTGGCAATGGAGCGGGCAATGCTGGTTTTGCCAACCCCAGGGGGGCCATAAAAACATAGGATCTTCCCCTGGGTGGATCCTCGCAGCTGGCTGACTGCTATAAATTCCTGCAGAACAGATGAAGCACCAGTAGGGAACACAGGGCAACTGCACCAGACAGCAACACCAAAACATATTTGTTATCAGGTCAAGCAACGATTACAAAATGAGGATCATACACAAAATTGGTCCTCAAAGGAGCTGGGGAGGGCAAGGGGAGAAGCTAAGTAAGCATACTGGTGTACCTCTTTTCCCTCTGGTTATTTACACACTTGGTTGTCCCCGAGTTTTGTGCTCTGTATTCATCTCACTGGGAGAAGCAGTCTCTCTCTCCACTGTCTTGGGAGCGGGAAGACAGACTTCTAGTTCTTCTAGCTTTCCTAGTTCTCACCTGAGTCTCTCAAGCTACAGGTGAGCATCTCCTACTTGTACCACTTTTTCTTTGCTAAGTTAAACTTGCAGCTTTTCACACTCCTATGCTAAGCAACCCTCAAATAACACTCAGCAGTTGAGAAATCAAAAGATCAGAGTTTAGAACTGAGTCTCAACTGCTCATATGCTTACAGTGAAGAAATCACTGTGCAAGTAGGCAGATAGATGTGGATCCCCTGTAACAAGCTAGTTATTTAGCAAAGATGAGCCTTGACCTCTTCCACTTACAGCACTGAACTCCACAGAAATACTATACAAGGACAACAGCACCAATCTAATTAAGGCTTGAACCTGCATAGATATTTCTCAGTACCTTAAAATCATCAGCCTCGCTTGCATTGCTACAACTGAGAAATCTCCTCTGCATGGAATTAATCAAATCAATAATCAAAGCCATAGACCTGTATGATACAACTCAATCTATTTCTGTATAAAGGCTGGGCTTAGTCAACATAAATAGTGCTGACAAGCAACCTAAGAAACCGATACTCAAAAGGTGTTATCTGCTTGCAAGTGTGCAACAACAGGTTGACTATAAATCATTCAAAATAATAAATCAGATAGCAGAATGTAGTCA